TGGTGACGAAACCGATGTGTCTCTGTCTTTTGACGTGATGCTCGGCAGAGGGTCGATGACGGCGAACTTTGTCCTCCAGAGCTCGAAGAGCACCGCGAGTCGCCGGAAATTATCACCCGCCGCCGAATCTTCTCATAGAGAATGGTAGCGTCCACTATCACATGGAACGCTTTGAGGTCGACGTTGTCGACAGAGTCGAGCCCAGTGTCTTGTACAGTGGCGGACTTACCCAAACTCCGACAACTCGTGGGAGTTTTAGGAGCCACTTCGGCAAGACTGCCCAGACGTCGTGGACGCATATGATCAGAAGGATCATGACGCTCCTTGTCGTCATGTGCTCCGCGCTTCTCGACGGTAGCCCGGGGAACCGAAGGGCCATGAGTTGGCCTCAAGCTATTGCCCTGAGCTGCTATGGTCGTAAGATCACCCGCGTGAGAAATCACAGAGCTCGCGGGAGCGTGATGGGTTATTCCATGTGTCACAGGGCGACAGTACGCAAGAAGTCGGTGATGCGCCTTGAGTCTGGCAAACTCAAATCGAAGATGGCGTTGTACACGCATGTCCACTTCCTAGTGGCTCCGCTGTAAGTGAGACAGCGAGGAGAGTTTCCGGGGCCGCTGCACCCATGCAGCAGTTTTGCCAGGGGCGAGCACCACAGAAATAGTCCGCATAGCGTGGTCAGGCGCGCCTTCTTTTTGAGCTCAAAGGCGAGCGCGGTATCTTTTCATTGGAAGTTCTTGCGGCACCAATAAGCGAGCTCGTAGAGCTTTTTGCTAGTAAAGCTCGACTTGTTTTGTGACCGGTGGCTCGACTACGTAGACTTTTAATGATCGAGTGATCGCGTCATTCGTTTCAGTGGCGGGATCCGCTGAGCGGAGGCCGTATTCCACACGTGGATCTAAGGACCAAACGTATTTACGAGCCCATGAGAGCCGTCCTATGGGCAGTCTTTAGCTACTGCTTTTGTGCCTCGTCAAGGTGATCGGTAATAATACATTTCCCCCCCCGGAAGTCGAGAGATCGGGAAATGGACACGGTGTCCGCAAGGTTCGGGCAGGGCTCACGTCGCGCCGTTGGTGCACTCGTCCCCCATGCTGGGAAAGGAGTATCCGACTCGTAGTCGCCTACCCCAACTCCTCGACGAGAAATTCCGTCGCCCTTGGCGGGCGCAGTGTGTGGCACGAGGATGCCGAGGGCTTGGGATGTTCTTCAGAGAAGTCGCGGACGTACTGTCCAGAGATGCACCGCGTGCAGAAGATGAAGAAGGGCTCTGTCCATGGGTGCCCTCAAAACCAGCTAGGCTGGGTGTTTTCGTGTCATATACACAGGGCTCATTGAGCAGGAACTGTTTAAAGTTAGTAACAGTGTCTCAGACACACGAGCCTCTTATGAGGCGACAGTAAAATGTAAATTATGGGTATTCAAACTTTTGATTGGTGAGTGTAACGGGGTTACATGTACCTTGGTATGCAGGGGTGGGTCACACAAGATGGTGTGACCGTACAAAGGTGTGGATTACACAACTTGGTGAAATCGCACAATGATGTGGCTATACCGTGAACGAAGCCACTACGAGGCGGAACTGCCAGTCGTGATGTTTATTAACAGATTTCACTGTTTAATCAGGAAACTTCAAATTGTAGATATGCCGCGAATAAAACAAATAAACGCACTTTCAATTTGCTCAAAATAGTGTATATGCAAAGGTTTTGGGTACTCTAGACGGTAGCGGATCACAATCCGCTACCGTCGTTTTGATTCTGGTATAGAACGTAAGGTCGATGGCCTTAGCTTAGCTACCTCTAAACAAAGAGCTACAGTATCTTCGCTGCAGGCGGTGCCAAAGGCGAGACAACACCATACCATTAGCCAACCCCGAAAAGTTCTTGCTCGTCGGCACCACATCTTGAAGCCATCTTGAGAGAATTGATTGAAAAGTTGACGATGTGATTGCTGACTAGGGCCTGACCGAAGTCGAAATAAAAAACTTTACCAACTCGGCTTGAGCAAGCTCATGCACACCAAAAAGTTGATGACAGATTTTGTTTCTTGTCAGCGCCATAAAATTCGACGCGGGCAAGCTGAAGTTGTGCACCAGACCACATATGGTACTCTCAAGGTGAACTTGTATACTCGCGATAAGAGTCGTGTCGCCTGCAAAGAAGACACCAGTGGAAGTGTGATCTTCACTAAGTCACACCCTGAACTCTTAATAAGATCGCAAATGGTTCCCGAAGGAATCAATATTAAGGAGAATTGCAAAGAGCGGATCTCCTTGTTACACTCCTTTTTTCGTATACAATGCTAGCTGGATGTTACAAGGTTGGCTTTTGATTCGTGTACAGCAATTTAACCACAACGCAATCTCAGAACCATAACCTAGTCGTTCGAACGCACGGAGCATTTAGACCCAGTTAACTTCATCAAAAGCCTTAGTCCAAGAGTAGGGCGTTATCCTCTTCGTCTTGACCTGTCACCAACTCTTGCAAATCTGCTAGATATCGCGCATGGTGATGAATCGAGCGGTTGTGACGAACTCTTTTCGATGGGGGTGGAGCAAGTTGGGGATGATTTGCTGGAGTCGGTACGTCAGCGCTTTAGACAGTATTTTACATCTACCGGGATCAGTGCGATTGGTCGGTAGTTGTCGGGTTGCGCTCTTGACCTCTTCTTGAGGAGAAGGACGACCACAGGCTTGCGCTGAGAGGGAAGCAGAATCCCGCGTTGCAGCTAGTCATGGAAGATGATATTCAAGCATTTGTCAGACACGTCTGAAGCCACCCGGCAAAAGCTAGCAGTCAATTCATCCATACCAGGATTTGAAGCCGCATTTACGTGTTTGATCGCACTCGCAAGATCAATAGGTGTAACGAGGGGCATTTAGAATGTCTCTATCCAGCTCTGGTGCTACTTTCACGATAGAGTCGAAATGTTTGCGCTGCTTGGCTTCGTCAGGTGAAGGAGCTCAACCTGTTGGATCGGCGGGATCTCCCACCGCTAATCACTAGTCCTCTAAGACGTGGGGGCGATATCGCTTGGGGATTTGATGAGACATTACACTCGGTTTGACCACCTCCTTAGTCGATACCCTTCTCAAGCTTGTATCAGATGGACAAAAGAAGTGTTTGGTGAATTTCTCTGTTTACCGTTTGAAAGTCGAAGCAGCATCTTGAGTGTATTGGCTCGCCCTCGTGGCTGCCTCTTTGGATATTCTCATGATCGTATCAAAGATCTCGTGGTCTCCTTCGTTCGATGACACACGGTATCGAGTAGCGGTTTGATCCTGCGCGACACGGGCATCATTAGAGGTTTGTGTGTCTTGCATCTTATGCTTCTTTTCCAACTCTTGGATTTGATGTTTAATATTCTTCTTCCACTATCCCAGTTCTTCCCCCGGTTTAAGTTGGTGTGCAGTTGATCGCAAACCATCGCTGCTTCTTTCTCGGTCGTAGATACCACAAATGGGTAATCGAGAGGAGAGGAACAAAAGCTTCTAGTTCCATTGGCCATACAACTGTGATACAGACCTGAGGCTCACATTGTAAGCTAGGAGGTCGCCGGCACGGTTTGGCAGGATATATCTGAAGTAATCGTTTAAGCGTTCGTAAAGCGCCTCTGACAGCATGATATAGTACAAACGGCAATTTCTAGGAAGTGGGTCCGTGATGAATATGGTTGGTGTCGTATTGAATCCACGTCGACTACACCCAGTATTGCCAGCTACACTAAGAAGACCGGTCGATCAGGGCTATATCGCAAGTCTGGAGATGACTGGATCCAGAGGAGTGTTGATATCACCCAAGACGATGTGCACCGGCTAATTTCCAAACTTCTTAGTTTCCAGTCTA